AGGAAGCTTGTTCTCCCTGCTCCCTCTCTTCTGCCTTGGAGGTGCTGATGTAAGAAACACCCAAATCTGTAGAGAATTTTTATAAGTTTATCTGAGCTAAACATGATGACATTTGTTGGGAAGCAAGATGTCAAATGCTCCCCAGAATGGCAGTTTGCAGTTTATTTTATGCATTTGGAATTAAGGAGGGAACATAAGAAAACAACATGAAGCTGGGAGAAAGCAAGCGTGGGGGGATCCAATTACAGGACAGTTAATAAGATTATGTGCTCTCTTGAGGGTGGTTATGTCTTTGAGGAGCATTACTTCTGGAATTTCAAAGATGTGTTAACCTAGATGCATACCCTTTCACCAAAGAAGTGATAGGCTTGGGGCATGACTCCCCAGCATGACCCGCCCAGTTAGAAATTTGTGATCAGATCACTCTGTGAGATTATTTTCCCCTTCTCATCCACTGAGGGGGCATCCTGAGGAAGAGTGTGGTCTCCCAATGTAGGAGAGGTGTGCAGATGGGTATGGTAAACAGCTCCCTCTTGTGACCATAAGGGACAAGTCCTGCTTTTTATTTAATCATGATAAAAGTGAGACCCTGTCACTTTAAAATAAATTAAAATGAATGCTGAAAAATGTGAGCATCTCCTCTCCACTCCAAACAACCGCACCCTTCCCCCAGTGGTCCATGGGGACACCTTCTAGCAAACACATACATACGCGCACACTAATAAATGGTTGGTTTGGGGGGTTGTTTTTTAACATTGGATCATACTGGGTCTTACTGTTTCCCACTCCACTTTTTGCTTACCCTTTTCCCTACCCCTATACTTGGGAGCTCTTATAGGCCAAAACCCACAGATTCCCCAGATTGCTGTAACAGGGATGCAGAGTCCTCCAAAGAAAGTGGGGATGTTGGAGTGTGGACCACCAATTCCCTAGGCGAGGATCTCTGAATTTTAAGAAAAGATCTTGGGCCCTCCAGAAACAGGCTGCCTACAGTGGTTATCCCCTCACCAAATTCTTTGTTCTGGGGCTTTTTTAAGAGAGAGGTTTCTAAGGAAAGGCTCCTCCGTTATTTCAATACATTTCAGAAATGCTGGGAAGGTAAATACCCTGGCTCCAGCTCCAGCACGAGCTGGTGGGGAATGACTGCAGGAGTGAAAGTGTCCCTCATGGAGTTGGCCAGGGGCCACGGTGTCCTGCTGCTCTCCTGACTGAGGGGCATGGTTTGAACTTAACTTCTAGTTGTTTTGTTTGTTTGTTTGTTTGTTTGTTTACCATTAGCTGGTGAGCTGCCCTCAGAGTCCCTGTCCATAGTGGGAGCTGCTGTCCTTCCCAGGCCCCCTTTATTGGCTGCTGTACCCACCCACTCCCCCTGACCTGCTGAGTGTTAGCTGCAGAAAGCTCAGAGATGCCCCCTTTCCCCAGAGAACCACCCTTAGATGACTGGAGATGGCTGAGATGTTATGCCTCATTCTCTTCCACTTACCTCCTAGGGTTACCAGATAAAATACCAGATGCTCAGCTAAATTTAATTTCAGGGAAACAAATGCTTTTTTAGTATAAGGATATCCTATTCATTGCTTATCTGAAACTCAAATGTAATTGGGCAACCTGTGTTTATTTTTTCTTGCTAAATCTGGCAACCCTACAGCTGGCAGTCAATGATTGACTAGGCGAGTATGAAGACTTGGCCCCTTAACCTTCGAGGCTGAAAGCTTTCTCCTATCACTTATGCTCCAGGGCTCCCAATGGGGTCAGGCTAAGCTAGACTTCAGCTGAACCCACATCTTGCTTAGCTTCTTCCTCTGCCCCATCCTGCTTCCCTTCTCCCTTACGTGTTTCACTTGAGAGCTTTCTGTCCCTGTCTACCCCTAACTGCCAAAAATAACGTCCGCAAAGAACCCTGGCTTGGCTTCTAGGAACTCCAAAGCACTGCCTGTTTTTCAAAGCTTCCTGTTTGGTAACAATGTTCAAGATTGTCTCGAAGTGTTACCAGATCAAAATTCTTGTGCCTCATGCTTTGAAAGGCCAAAACTCAAAATGTCAGGGTTTGGAGTAAGGAAAGTTTTGTTGATCAAGAAGATACCAACTGAGAAGATGGGGATCTAATAGTGCCTCAGATCCATCTTGCTCACTGGGTTAAGTTAAGGTTTTTAAGGGGTTGGGGGGAATAAGTATGCTGAAGCACTGGTGGGGCAAGTTTTAACTGAAGAAACTTGGAACTTGGCCATTTATTGTAAAGGAACATGAACACTGGATTTTGCAGGACAATGGACCCTTGGCTTCTGAAAGGGTTCCAGTGTAAGTTCTGGTTATGTCCAGGTCTTTTGGTTCTGTGCGCATCAGTAGGGGTGGGGGGATTCTTTGATCCAGGTATAGAGGGAGGTCAAATTCCTCTCTTCTGTGCATGCCGGGTCTGCATGGCTTGGGGTCTTGGTCTATTGTCTCTGAAAAGCAACTTAGTGTCTCATTAAACAGGAGGTCCCAGCCTCTCATTCACATGGGAGAAATGGAATGCCCCATTTTAGGCTCTGGTGCCTCTCACCACCTTCAACAAATGACATCCTCATCAAGCTACTTTTTCTCTATATGTGGAAGACAATAGTGATAGATATTGTGTTGGCCAAAATGTCTGTTTGGTTTTTTCCATAAAATAAAAGACACATTTTTCATTTTCATCAAAAATTTTATTGATTTGGATATTTTGACTACATTGCCTATCTCCCATGTGGTATAACATTGATTGTTCTCAATGTCTTGATTTGATCGCTCTCAACTTCAACTAGTCTACCTGACCATGGAACATCATTGTCCATTGAGAAATCTCCAGCACAAAACTTTGAAAATCACTTTTGGCACTTGGGATTAGTCATAGCACCTGCTCCATACACTGCACGAATCTTTTTTTTTTTTTTTGCATTTCAGTGGTGTTTTATTTTTCTTGAAATAATAAAGCATTATATGCTGAAAATGTGTATTTTCTTCCATCTTCAATATAAAAATGGCTACACAAAAATTCACCAATTTTGGTAAGTTTTTTTAAATGCATACTGATATGACGGCTGTCATAATACAATCTCACAAAATCGTTTTGAATGAAGTTAAAGAAAACTATGCAGTACTAGAGCCATCTTACAGGAAAAATAAATGATCTTTTTGGCCAACCCAATAGGAAAATAACATGAGTAAACTATCTAGCATTTGGTGGGTCTCCCTAAATGGGAACAACAGCTACAGAAGTTTTAACTTCTGATCATTTTCATTTCCTTTGTCCTGTTTTCACAATCCACTGACATAAAGGAATATGATTTCCATGGAGAATTGTGGCTGTGGATGTTAAGGGACTGCCGTTCTCCTTGGGCCTCTGTCTTGCCTTTTTTCCCCCTCAAAGTTATGAATTCTCCTCAGCTTTAGTAAAATCCATTTGCATTTGCCAGGCAGCTGGTTTAAGGAACTCTCTCCCATTCCAGAGTGTTTCCTGGGTGCCAGGTACTTTGCTGCTTTTTCCTCACTCTGAGGGAGATGCTACTATTCTCTGTGTGACAGATGAAGAAGCTGAGTAAGTGGCAAAAGATGGACCTGGAGCAAATTTTGGCAGCTTCTAAAACCCAAGAAGCTGCCAAAAGGAAGCTGCCTTTCTTCTGAGAAAGAAAATGCCAGTCTCTGGGTCTTTGCCGATTTCCTCTACCTCTCCTTAGATCTGAAACAAGTCCTGTTTCCTCTGAGGGATGAGGGAAGGGAAGCCGAAGCTGTAGGACTGGAGGACATGGCCACAGCCAAGGACTGAAGCTTCTGTAAACAGCAGACAGTGGGATTTTGAGAAAAGAAATAGACAGAAGGTGACAGCAGGCTCAGGCTCAGCTGTGCAAGGCAACCCTTTGTCCCCAACCCAGGCAAAATTAGCACAACCATTTATGAACTGTTTATGAACTACTGCTTTCAGTAAATATGTGTTGGGTGCCAAGCACTGGAATGCACTGGTAAGCCAACACAGAAAAGCCTCCATCCTCATGGGGCTTACACTCAAGATTTGGCAGCCCCAGCCTCTTCCTATGTACACTGTCATACTCTTACCAGGGAGACTCGAGTTAGGGGGCTCCCTCTCCTTGGCTCTTGTGTTGCTTGCAAGAGAATTCAGGCAAGAGAGACAACACGTATAGTGGAAATGAGATAGTAAATTTGTTTATGAAATACACTTCAGGATGAAGCTGCAAGTGGGTACCCAGCTAATCTGAGTGCTCCGACTACTGGGATTTTTAGAGGTTTTATGCTTGTAGCCAGCTTCTAGGTTCGCCCTCCACCTCCCCACTCTAGATCTTGGGATTGATATACAGCTTCAAAGGCTTTCTTTCCCAGATAGTGGAAATGAGACATACAGAATTTCACTGCCCCCCCCCTATGCTATCATGGTTTTTCTTGTGATTTTTGAACACCTTGGCAATCTTCACTCACCAGGCTCAGGACTGCTGAATTAATGAGTGGGACATGTCTCCCTCCCCCTCTCTGCCTTGGTTTGCTATCTATCCTGCCTAGCAATACCACAGAATTGGTGGTAATAAGGTACAGTGTGGAGGGCAGCATCTAGTCAGATGGCCCACTCCACCACTTATAACTATGTAATTTCTGGGCAAGTAACTTAGCTTTTGGGGCCTCAGTTTCAACCTCTGTAAAATGGGGATGATCATAACTACCTTAGGATTGTGTCGGAGTTCCATGAGATAACACATGTAAAGTTTTTTGCGTCGTGCCTTAATTGACTCAACCCACACTTGATAAATATTAGCTGTTACTTTTATTTTTTTATTTACTTATTTTAGAGAGAGGGAAAGGGAGGGAGAAAAAGGGAGAGAAACATCCATGTGGCAAAGATACAGCCATTAGTTGCCTCTCACATGCTCCCAACTGGGGACCTGGCACCACAACCCAGGCATGTACCCTGACTAGGAATCGAACCTGCAGCCTATTGGTTTGCAGGTCGGTACTCAATCCACTGAGCCGCACCAGCCAAGGCGTCTTAGCTATTACTTTTAAATACAAGTACTGTGTTTCATGAGAACGGAAGCTGTATCTTCTTGGGTTTCAATGAGTTGCCCGTACCTAGCACATAACAGTATCTAATAAATAAATGCATAGACAAAACTTGGCTTACATTTGGAAATGGAACCATCTGGGTCTTTTTATGTCAACCCAAATTGAATATCTACTGTGTTGAGAGCCACAGAGGCACCTAGAGCGAGTCCTCCTGTCCAGAGGATTTGACATTAAGATGTATTCAGCAGAAAAGACGCTAGACATAAACTTGCTGACTGAATGCATGCATGAATAAATGAATGGCTGTGAAGACCGAATAAACATGCCCTGAGTCCGGTACCCCATGCAGGTATTTGCACACACTGCTTCCTCCGAATAGGGCACCAGGTTGCACCGAGGTCTGCGGGCCTCAGCTCCACACCACACCAGAATTCCCGCCCCAGCCCTGCGACGCGGCGCGTGACGTCATATCCGCGACTAACTCGCTCATCCGGGAGGCGGAGCAGGCGGAAGCCAAAAATACACATCCCTGGAGTTTCTAGGGCCATGCTCAGGCCTCTATAGGGGAAGCTCCAGGCCTTGGCGGATTCTTGCCGTGAACAGGATTCAGGGAGGCGTCAGCATAGTCCGGCGGAGAGCTGGTAGGCGGAAGACCAGAGCGAAGCGACAGTTTTCCTTGAGCGGGCTCAGTCGGCCGCGCTGGGGTCGCTGGACGCGCAATCCAGGCCGCAAGCGCAAGGCGGGTCCTGCTTGCGGCGCCGAGTGAGTCGGAGTACCTCCCCGCCCCGGCCGAGGTCGAAGCAAGCGAAGGTTAGGCCCAGCCGCGAAGCTGCTTGGGCCTCTGTACGACGCGGTCGCGGAAGCGGAGGGTAGAGGTTGCGAGGGCTGAGTGGGACCACGAGTGCAGAGCGCATGCGTCATGCGTCAGGTGGGAGCTAAATTCGTAGGTGACATTTGTCGGACAAAGTTAGCATGACCTAAGTGCTTAAAAAAATAGTTCAGTTCAAACATTATACATATGTGTGTGTATATATATAGTGAATAAGACTGATCCCTGTTTCTTGAGACGTGTACATTCTGTGGGGATGGAGAAGCGAACACAAGTAATAATTACATAGTTCTGCTGCGGGGGGGGTGGAGTGCCGTAAGAAAAGAGTAGAGCAGGTGCATGGGGTGGGGGGAGTTGCCGTATTTGATAGCCACTGGGCCAAATCGAGGGTGAGATTTGAGCGAAGCCATGAAGGGGGCTAGGGAGTGAGCCATGTGGCCACCTGGAGGAAGAGTATTCCCAGCATGTGGAAACGCCAGGAGCGAGGCTCAGAGGTGGGAGGGAAACTGGTGTGTGAAGAGCTAGGAGGCCTGTGTGGTGGAAGGGATTGAGTAGGGGAAAATGGCAGGACATGAGAGACTTTAGCTTACTCGAAGTGAATCAGGAACAATTGCAAGATTTTGAGCAAATGAATATCCATGAAAAAGGCTAACTTCAAAGATGTTTATGTCAGTGACTATAGAAGAGCATACATTTTTGTGGTGAGCCTGGTGAATTTGGGCTGCCCCGGCGTCAACCTTTTTAGTATCAGGAGCCTGTAGAGGGCAGTGTTGTCCTTGACCCTGAAGCTCAGGCCTGTGTAGGAGGTGACAGTTTAGCATTTGCTCTTCAAGTCTTCTTTTTAAAAATATATCTGATTGATTATGCTATTACAGTTGTCCCATTTTTTCCTCCTCTTTATTCCCCTTAACACTTCACCACACCCTTCCAACAGCATTCCCCCACCTTAGTTCATGTCCATGGGTCGTGCATGTAAGTTCTTTGGCTTCTCTATTTCCTATACTATTCTTGATCTCCCCCTGTCTATTTTGTATCTAATGTTTATGCTTCCTATTCCCTGTACCTTTTCCCCAATTCTCACCCCTCCCACTCCCACTGATAACCCTCCATATGGTCTCTATTTCTGGGCTTCTGTTCCTGTTCTAGTTGTTTGCTTAGTTTATTTCTGTTTTTGTTTTTTAGGTTTAGTTGTTGATCGTTGTGAGTTTGTTGTCATTTTACTGTTCATAGTTTTGATCTTCTTCTTTTTCTTAGATAAGTTCCTTTAACATTTCATATAATAAGGACTTGGTGATGGTGAACTCCTTTAACCTGACCTTATGTGGGAAGCACTTTATCTGCCCTTCCATTTTAAATGATAGCTTTGCTGTATAGAGTAATCTTGGATGTAGGTCCTTGCTTTTCACTTTGAAATCTTCTTTCCAGCCCCTTCTTGTGTGAAAGGTTTCTTTTGAGAAATCAGCTGATAGTCTTATGGGAACTCCTTTGTAGGTAACTGTCTCCTTTTCTCTTGCTGCTTTTAAGATTCTCTCCTTATCTTTAACCTTGGGTAATGTAATTATGATGTGCCTTGGTGTGTGCTTCCTTAGGTCCAACTTCTTTGGGACTCTCTGAACTTCCTGGAAGTCTATTTGCTTTGCCAGATTGGGGAAGTTCTCCTTCATTATTTTTTCAAGTAAGTTCAATTTCTTGCTCTTCTTCTTCCTCTTCTGGCACATGAATCAGATGTTGGAATGTTTAAAGTTGCCCTGGAGGTTCCTAAGCCTCTCCTCATTTTTTTGAATTCTTGTTTCTTCATTCTGTTCTCATTGAATATTTCTTACTTCTGGTCCAAATTGTTTATTTGAGTACCAGTTTCCTTCCCTTCACTGTTGGTTCCTTGTATATTTTGCTTTATTTCACTTTGCATAGCCTTCACTTCTTCCTGTGTTTTGTGACCATACTCAACCATTTCTGTGAGCATCCTGATTCCCAGTGTTTTGAACTCTGCATCTGATAAGGTGACTATCTCTTCCTCAGGTGGTTCTATTTTGGGGGCTTTGATCTGTTCTTTCACTTGGGCAACATTTTTTTTTGTCTCAGTGCGTCTGTTATGTAGTAAGGGGCAGAGCCTTACGTATTCACCAGGGTGGGGCAGCCCACTTGGCTGTCCTATACCTGCGTTGTGGTGCTGAATGTTGGGGAGGGGTCAGAAAATGCCTGCTCAGCTCTGGACCGGCTTTCATTCACTTCCCCTGCTACCCACATGCAAATTGGGCCCTTCTGGTGTTGATTCCCGGGTGGGTGGTTTTAGGTACATTCCAGGACCGTGGATCTCTCCAGCAAACTCCCCTGTGAGGCTGGGAGTTTCTGCAACTGCCACAACCCCCACAAGTTTTTACAACCAGAGGTTTTGAGGCTTTATTTCCCCATGCCATAACTCTGGGTTGTGCAGTCTGTCTCTCTCCCCAGTTCCTCCTAGTTTATCCACATGCAATTGGTGGGACTGCTTGTCTGTCAGCCGCCACCTCTCCTGCCCAGTCCTCCCGCTGCTGCCTTGCTGTACCTCCTCTCTGCCTCGGCTGCCTGTCTCTGCCCCTCCTACCAGTCTAAGTGTTTCTTCAACTCCTTGGTTGTCAGACTTCCAGGCAGTTCAATTTTGTGGCAGTTCCAGTTATTTTTGTTTTTAAATTTGTTGTCCTTCTTTTGGTTGTGTGAGGAGGCACAGTGTATCTACCTATGTCTCCATCTTGGCTGGAAGTCCTCTTTTTTTTTTTTTTTTATGTACCGTTCATTGGCATTAAGTACACTCACATTGTTGTGCAACTATCACCATTATCCAATTCCAGAATATTCCGTTAGTCTTCACTGTTATTGGCACCCTAAGCCTCAAGCCCAATCTCATTCCCCCTAACTCAAGCAGCTAATGCCATCAAGGCAGTCAGTAATACCTAAAAAATACCCATCATGCTCCAGGCAGTGAGTTAAATAATTGAGGGTTTTGTTCTGCCTGTCCTTCTAGTTAGGGGAGACTAGTGACTGGGAAAGAAGCACTGGGTAACCATTATTGTGGTCCTGAAACCAAAGATACTCTTAAACATGTAGGCCTAACATTTCTATCATTCATTCAATCATGTATTCAGTAAGTGTTGAATATCTACTCTGTTGTAGACACAGTAAATATTCATGTTTGTCCACTGGATAGGTAGGTATAGCTCCTTGAGCCTGATTTTCTCTGGTGGCCATCATGGAGTGGTTGGAACTGGGCCTGATCCACAGAGGTTTTTACAAATGCTGGTCTACAGCTTTGTGGCTTTTGATAAGTCCCTTTCCTTGGCTGGGCCTCAATTTCCTGGTTCCTTTAGTAAGGGACCCAGATATTAAACAAATGGACAGTGTTAATGTTACAGAACAGACAAGGGGGGCCTGGGACGATATACTATTATTGAAAGAAGGCCCCGGGTCCGTTGTGTCCGCCACCCTAGGAAAGACGTCTCTTAATGCCAGAGATTCATGAAAAGGAAAGGAAATGTTTATTTAATGCTATACAGACTTCAAGTAGTGACCTAATGTCTTCATCGAAAATCCTAAAGTCCCCAAAAAACACCCACAAACAGACACAGTCCTTCCTTCCTTCCCCCTTTGCCCAGTCCAGAGTACCGTATCTCAGGAAAGGAAATAGAAGTCCATGGCTCAGGCAGTCCTCTGGTTCTTTGTTAGTCCTCCATCTCGACTGGGAGACCTCCCTGGGTTCCCAGCACCCTCCTCTGAGTCGCCGGGATCTCTGCTAAAACCAGGTGGTGGTTCCCCTTCTAAAGCTGCGGGGGTCCCCACTCTGGCACAGGCACGTGGTCCTCTCTCCCAGGGCCACGGGAGTCTCCACTCTGTCAAGGCCGCTTGGTTCTCCTCCTCAGGGCTGAGGGAAGGGGAGAGTCCCCACTCTGCCAAAGCCGCGTGGTTCTCCCTCTCTGGGATGCAGGAGTCTCCACTCTGCTAAAGCTGTGTGGCTCTCTCTCCTAAAGCAGCACGGTTCTCCCTCAACGGCTGAGGTCCTCCCTATTCTGCTAAAGCCGCATGGTTCTCTTTCTCAGGGCTGCGCATGGTTCTCCTTCCTAAAGCAGCATGGTTCCCTCCTTCTCAATGGCCATGGTCCTCCCCATTCTGCTAAAGCCGCATGGTTCTCTCTTCCAATGGCCGCCAAGTCTGGGTTTTAAATCCCCGCGGCCAATCTTCCTCTGCAGCCTCATTTCTGACTCCTCCCACACTCGGCTTCACTTGCCAGAATTTATATCCTTCCAGCTTTACTGGGCTGCCATCTTGAGTCTGGGCAGGTGTGGCCCCATGTCCTGGAGCCAGTCTTCTCCGAGCTCCCACGCAGGTGCTGTAGTTTGGGGGATCTGCCCCCAGTTACGTCTTGGTGGGGAAGTTACTTCCATTCCCCTGGCTCAGAGATGATCACAGCTATTTAACATATCCATGCAACCAGCCAAAGGCTATAGATATGTTAAATGACCATACCAGAGGGTAGCTGCAAGGCTGTTGCTATGCAAAACAGTTCTCAATGGCCCTGCTCCATTTGTCCCTTCCCCCAACCCACACCCTGGGTGGGGGGGTTGGAGACATCTTAAAATCTCCTGGACACCTTAAGTTCTGGACCCCATTTCAAATGCCCATTTGGGGTCCCCCCTCTTGGCTGCACCCTGTAACATTAAGAGATTATATAACAAGGGAACCTAACTTAGAATAGGGTATCAAAGAAGGCCTCCCTAAAGAGGTGAACCTCCTGGAAGAGGTGAACTATAAGCTAAAATGTGAAGGCTGAATAGGATCAATCCAGAGGGAAAGTGAGGTAGGACTGTGATGCGTGGGTCCCCGGCCAGCAGTGATCACGGAACACTGTGGATGACTCGTTGAAAAACACGTGAGAAAAAACATGCACAGAGACAAACTAGTTTCTGTGGAGAAGTAGGGACGAAATGGCCACCCCCCCTAGTGGGGAGCGCCCCGATTTACAGTCCATACCTGCTTTTATTGGGCTCATTTTGCATAATAATTCAGGTAAAGTACAGTACTCATTAGGGGGAAGTAAGGAACCATAGAAAACAAGGAACTCTGCCAGTCTACTTTGAGTCGGTGTCAAAGAGCTGTAAGACTTTGAGGAACAAACTAACTTCCTCCTTGGACCCCTTTCATTCAACTGAGAGCATTCTAAACAAAGAAGGTTTCACAGTAATTTACATGTTCTTTCTTAGGCCTGATCACCCGGGGAATCTGCCTTTTTCAGCACAGCTGCACCACCCTGTCATTGTTTCAGGCTTAGATGGAGCACGGGAACCAAGGCAACCAAGAGATAAGGAGATTTTCTCCCAGGCGATGAGAACTCAGGCTATGTCAAAGCCGAGGAGCGAGGGTCCGTCACCCCCTTTTGCTGCAGCCCCCCAAGTCCTTTTGGGGGGCCTCCCAAAGTGATTGTGCCTGTCTTAGGTTGTTCCCCCCTTGGGGAACCTTACCCGTCTTTGGCTAACCGACCAAGCTTTTTGGGGTTCAGTAATGAATAAAGCAGCAGAAGCAGCATTCCTGCCAGGGAGATAAGCTTTTGTCTCCTTGCTGGCTTATGGTTCCAAGGGCGTTCCCTTAGCCTTAGCCTAGGCGGGGGTTTCAGCTTCTGATACCTGTCAGGGCAGTTCCCAACAGGACTGGAGCCATGGACAGGGATTCTCTCCAGGGAGATCAGCATGTTCTGGGTTCTTGAGAGTTTCAGATCTGTGAGAAATGTCATTGAGTGCCCATTCCAGGAATTTTTCCCCTCAAACCCCTTGCTGTTCAAGCTCCATCTTTCCTAGGGATGCCAGACCTGTGCTGACCTAGCTCCCAGACCAAGAAAATGTGCAGATTCAGCATGGGTGGGGACAGCAGAACTGCCTACCACCTCTTATTCTCCTGTTCGTGTTCTGTGTTGACTGACAGTAAACAAGAAGAGGGCCTTCAGATCCAGATTTTACTTTTTGCGTTTACCTTTTTTAATTAAGAGGCATACCAGAGTGATCTTGATGGCACTCAGAAGTGGTTGGAATTTCTGTATGCCCTTGGGTAGCTGTTACCTGTTTTTGCCAAGCCTCGTTATCCTCTTCTCAAAAACAGGAATAACAAAAGCTTTTACCTCATATGATCATTTTGAAGACATGACTTAAAGCATATGAAGCATTTAGCACAGACCTGGGTACTTGGTAAGGGAAAATATTTGGTGAGATTATAGTATTAGAATTTAAATAAAAATGTAGCAGGTTGACATATAAAATATAGAAACTTCCTTTGTGTCTGCATGAGTAACTTTAGTTTGACCAAAATTGGATGTTACTGTGCTTAGGAGTTCTTTAAAAAATCACATAGGTAAAATTCTCATTTAAAAAGTAAAAAACAGCATGTACCTTGCTAATTAATTTCTAGCCCCCTTGACTCTTAATGTAGGTGTAATCAGCATCAGAAAAGATGCCAGCCCCAGCTGCCACATACGAAAGAGTAGTTTACAAAAATCCCTCTGAGCACCACTACATGAAAGTCTGCCTGTAAGTTCAGTCTTCTCATTTCTTTTGTTTATTATTATTTTTTATGAATCTAAATAGCATAAAATTTAATGCAATGTATTTTTGTTTTTAATGTTTTTTACAGAGAATTTCAAGATCATGCAATTGGATTAAATGCTGCACAGTTCAAGCAGCTCCTTCTTTCAGCCCTGAAGGACCTGTTTGGGGAGGTACAGAATCACTTAGTAGATTGAACACTCCTAAGATCTTTGTAATAAATACTGAAAAAACACTTTTCTAAACATTTTAAAACTTTAAAACCACATTTGAAATTTTAGAAGCCGACTTTCAGAAATGGCAAAATGTTGGTAGGTGTGTTCAGTACACTTTCTTTTTAACAAGGAATTCGTTGGACAAATATTTATTTTAGTGCAGTGCTACTCAAAGCGGGGTTCAGGCTGATAGCCTGCAGACTGTCTTTTTGCCCATTTTGAAGATCTGTGGCTCACAGCAGAAGGTAAATCAGCACATCATTTCTTTTACTGAGAAAGTCTCTGTATGAACAAAACTGAGCTGAACCAAACAGTACATTTACTGATATTGTTGATTTATATTCTGATGCAGCCTCTTGTCTTATCACACACCAGCATTATGAATAGTATTATTCTAGCATTCACTTGAAAACAGAGTTTTGAGAGAGAACTAAGGTGATTTTCTGGAAATACTTCTTTTTTTTCTTTTTGAAAATTAATTTTTTTACTTATTTTTAGAGAAAGGGGAAGGGCAAGAGAAACATCAGTGAGTCTCCTACCGGGGACCTGGCCTGCAACCCAGGCATGTGCCCTGACTGGGAATCTAACTGGAGACCTTTTGGTTCTCAGGCCAGCACTCAATCCACTGAGCCACACCAGCCAGGGATATTTCTTGATTCATATATTCTATCAAATCAAAATCTGTTAAGCATCTCATCAAAATTAAAAACTTTTATTCCACAAAAGATTCAGTCAAGAGGATGAAAAGACAAATTACAGACTGAAGGAAGATATGTGTAAGCCACATATCTGACAAAGGACTAATATCTAGAATGTATAAAGAAATCTCAAAACTCAAACTGTACAGTTAAGAAAAGACCAAACGATACAATTAAGAGACATGAATAAGTCCCTGGCTGGCGTAGCTCAGTGGATTGAGTGCGGGCTGCGAACCAAAGTGTCGCAGGTTCGATTCCCAGCCAGGGCACATACCTGGGTTATAGGCCACGGCCCCCAGCGACCCCACATTGATGTTTCTCTCTCTCTCTCTATCTCCCTCCCTTCCCTCTCTAAAAATAAATAAATAAAATCTTTAAAAAAGAGAGATATGAATAAGACATTTTACTCAAAAGGATGTACAGTTGGCAAAGATGTACATGAGTGAAAATCTGTTCAACATCATTAGCCATTAGGGAAATGCACATTAAAAACAGTAAGATATCACTACACACCTAACAGAATGGCTAAAATAAAAAATTGTGATAATACTAAATGCTGGTGAGGATATGGAAAAACTGAATTACTCATACATTGGTGTTGATGATGTAAAATGGTATAGTCTCTTTGGAGCACAGTTTGGCAGATTCCTAAACAGACTATGTACCTACCATACAACCCAGCAACTGCATACCTGAGCATTTATCTTTGAGAAACGAAAACTTAACATTCACACAAAAATATGTATATGCATGTTCATAGAAGCTTTATTAGTAAGAGTCTAACAGTAGAAATAAGTGAGATGTCCTTCAGTGGGTGAATAAACTATAATACATTCATACCATGGAATATACTCAATAATAAAAATGAGCACACTATTGATAAACGCAACAACTTGACTAAATTCCCAGAGAATTATGCTAAGTGAAGAAGCCAATCCCAAACAGTAATATACTGGGTGATTTTATTTATATAATTTTCTTGAAATAACATAATTATATAATCTGGAGGAAGATTAGTGGTTGCCTGGGGTCAAGATGTCAGGAGTAGGTATGGCTGTGAAAGGGTAGAAGGAGAGAGCTGGTGGTGGTATAGTTCTTTATCGTGACTATGGTGGTTACATGAAACCACCTATGGGGTAAAATTGCATAGCAATGGTATAATCTGAATTAACTCTGGTTTATCAATTTCAGTTTCCTGGTTTTGATATCATACTATAATTGTGCACGATGTTAACTTTGAGCGAAGCTGGGTAAAGGGTTCAGGGGACCTTCCTGTGTATTTCTTTGTAATCTCCTGTGACTCTAATTTTTGAAAATCATGCCCTGGCTGCTATGGCTCAGTGGATTGACTGCCTGCCTGTGAACCAAAGGGTCACTGCTTTCATTCCCAGTCAGGGCACATGCCCGGGTTTCGGGACATGTCCCCAGTAGGAGGTGCACGAGAGGCAACCACACATTGGATGTTTCTCTCCTTTCTCCCTCCCTTAACCTTCTGTCTAAAAATAAATAAATAAATAAATCTTTAAAAAGAAAAAAATCAGAAGTTTAAGAAAAAGCTTGGGGTGGTTAACACACAATACAATATACAGAGAATGTATTGTAGAATTGTACACCTGAAACCTATATAATTTTATTAACAGTGTCACCCAATAAATTCAATAAAATAAAATAATTAGAAATAAGTTTAAGAAAAATGTGCATCCTCTCTATTTCATGTATAAAACCTGTTTTCTCTAAGCAAACAGACATGGCCTCTGTCTCATGGGTTAATAGTCTTGGTTAGATTTAGTAGGCAACCTTGTTGAACAGTTAATAGCAAGAATGATGAGTACTATGAAAAAGGAATTATGTGTGCCCTGTATGTGAGAGACAATAGCAAGTGATTGAGCTTAATCTTGGGGATCTGGGAAGGAACAATTTAAATGAAGATTTAGAGGGTGAAGAGGCATTAGCGGACCTGGCCACATAGTTCACTTGGTTAGAGCATCATCCTGATGTGCCAGAATTACAGGTTCAATCCCTGGTTGGGATACATGCAAGAATCAGCCAGTGAATGCATAAATAAGTGGAACAACATTTGATGTTTCTCTCTAAATAAGTAAATAAATAAAATGTGGGGGTTTTTTTTGTTTGTTTTGTTTTTTAAGAAGCATTAGCAATGTGAAGAGTTACAGGAAGAATATTCTGGCAGGAGGGAGTTATAAATAAGCATGCCAGTACTCCCACACTATTAAATAAAATACTGCTTTTTTGGAGGAGAAAAGCAATGAACAGGAATAGTTATTAGAGTTCAAGATTGATGATGATAATACCATTATTCTATACTTAGGTTGATGCTGCCTTACCCTTGGATATCATAACTTACGAGGAGAAGACCTTGTCAGCCATCCTGAGAATATGTAGCAGGTATGACAGACAATAAAGCATTTCTAGTATAACACAGATGAGAGACAGATGGGAAGTAGAGCAAAAATTCTCTCTTCTGTGAATAAGAAGAGTTTTGTCATTGTGAACTCTGAGCAGCTTTTGGAAGTTTAAACTGGGGAGAATGTGAACATTCATTTAGCAGGAGCTTAGACCCTAGAGAGCAAAACCTGTGACTTACTTATAACTTTAGTATTTCCCAAATGATGGTTGTAAACTCAGAAATATTAGAAATATTCCTAATTGGGAATCATTTAATTCTCTGTCTGTGATACACTATGCTTTAAATTTTTCTCATTTAAATTAGGTTTTCTGGACTATTGCAAAGAAAAGTACTAGGGAGATGTTGCCGGGACAAATCTTCCTTAATGCTTTCTTGGTTTTTCCTCAGTGGTCTTGTCAAATTGTGGAGCTCTTTGACCCTTTTAGGATCTTATAAAGGCAAGAAATGTGCTTTCAAAGTGATTCAGGTAAAGACTATTCCTTCACATATTCCAAACTAGGCTGAGTAGTTGATCAAACTGCTTTTTAATGTGTGTTCCATTTTTGTGCTTGTATAAATATAGTTTGGTTAACATCACCCAGCTAAGGGGGGCAGGGAGAGGAATCCAGAATTTCATTGCTTCTGGCAACCTTAGACAAGGCCCTTCAGGTTATGTGGGAGTAGTTTTGGTATAAAACTTGGAATGCTTGTAGAAAAATCTTAACTTTTCCTTTATTGCATAATGACTAGTGTCTTATGTATTGGAATGCTCTTTCTGAGCTTATCATGACCACTTGTTGATGTAAGGCTACCTCTCAGGATGCTCGTTAAGATACTACTGCATCAGCTTGGCTTATGCTTTAAAACTGGGCATGTTTCTAAAACATGGGGCATGAAACACATTTACCCTGTGTTTCAGTGCAATTTTCTCCTGATTCTGTGTTAACATTTTTTCTTTGTCTTACAGGTTTCTCCCTTTCTCCTTGCATTATCTGGTAATAGTAGGGAACTAGTATTGGATTGAATAGTCCTCAATTTCAGAAACATTCCTCTACTCTCAAAAGTACTTTTTGGTGCCAGCATAATGTTTGAACACTGAAGCAGGCCAAGAGCTCCTGTTGATGGAATTTGAGGGTGCTGAAGATGTTGCCAGTGATCTCCAGCCATCGTCTTTGTTGGGTTAGGCTTCAGAGGAGAATCTGCCTGAACCAGCCAGTGGGAAGCAGGCAGCACTCTCAGCATATGCACATCAGAGTTGGAGACCGGGCTGAACTCAGCAGAGCCTTCACACAGAGGGATGTGGTTGCCTTCTCAAAATTAACGGGGGATGTCAATCCTTTGCATTTAAATGAAGATTTTGCAAAATGCACCAAGTTTGGAAAGACAATTGTACATGGAGTTTTGATTAATGGACTTATCTCAGCTCTCCTGGGTACTAAAATGCCAGGGCCAGGCTGTGTGTTTCTTTCCCAGGAAATTAACTTTCCAGCCCCTTTATACATTGGAGAAGTTGTTTTAGCTTCAGCAGAAGTGAAAAGGCTGAAACAGTTCATGGCTGTTATTGCTGTGTCATGTGTTGTAAAAGAAAGTGAAAAGACTGTTATGGAAGGCTGGGTTAAAGTTATGGTTCCAGAAGCTCCCAAGTCCTGAAATATGTGTTTAAAGATGCAAGATCAGGCATCGATGTTACTGTTTCTGAAGAGCCTCTGAGGAAGATGGGTTGCTGTTCTTCGACAAGGAATGGCCAGCAGATCCAGCATCGCATATAGGGGAGGGGAGCAGGCAGCAAGGTGTTCACATGCCCACTTTATAATTTGGCCTTTTGATTTCCACAAACTTAAGTGTATTTATCATGTCTAGGTTAGTAAAATTGAAAAAATATTGGGAATGTTATCATTTAGCTAAAGGTTCTACTTTTAGGATTTCAAATCTACTTTTAGATTTTCATTTGGATGACACAAACCTAATATATCTCTATAGAATAAATTTCTCACTGAATTTATAACTAGCTAGTATTTTTATTGAAGGCAACAATAGATGTTGGGTCGTCTTTGAACACCTATCTTTTACCAATAAATATTCTTGAATACTGTTCTTCAGCAGTTTCTGTGTCAGAGTTTTTTGTAATTTGTTACTATTTATACCAAGATGGCATCTTGCTTAACCTTTAAGTGGTTCTTGCCTTTCAGATGGTTTTCCTGCTCTCAGAGGTTTATGTGCAGATTTGTAAACTCTTGGTCTAATCTGTAAAATGGGGGTAATAACACCACACAGGATTGTTGAAGATGATAGACACAAAGAGCAAAGCACAAGACTAGCCTGTGGACAGTAGCTATTACTGTTGTTCATGCTCTCCTGTGAAGGTTAGAGACTTTGGTGACTTTATAGCTGACTGGCCCAAAGGTAAACAGCCCAATATTTTGGATGTCAGCCAGTCTCTTGGCATTCTAAACCTGGAATAGATCTTGAGTGCAAAGTTTCTATTGTAGTAATCCAGATTACTTTCTCCCTTCCTTGAGACTATTGTGGGTTGCCCCTTTATGTAATAATATATGCTTACTGTAAAAATAAAATTATAAATAAAAAGCATAAGGAACACTGTGAGGTCCCGTTTTTAAGAGCTGAGGGGCATTGCAGAGAAAATGTGCCTAATATGTTAGTATTCAATAGTCATCCCCACCACAGCTAACCCTTTTTTTAAGACAAAAATCTGTAGTGGAACATACATGTGGTCCACCTGAGCTCTGTGGATTTAGATGGTGGCTCTGACCACAGCTAGATGCTTTGATCAGGAAGGTACGACCAAGTGTAATTAGCTGGATCAACCCACATTTCCTGTAAAAAGTTCTTTCCTCCTGCTGGTAGGTCAGTAACTACATTTTTAATTATATTTGTTCATATTAAGGGAACAATTAAATAGATTACTTAAAAGAATGATTCTAGTCACTAGAGGGCAGTGGTGTGTATAAAGTGAGTATTTTAAACCTGTTTAATACTGTACCATACTCAAGTCTGTGACCAAGATGAAAGTAACCAAAATGTACTTGAGAAGCAAGGATACCATTTTCACAAGTTTCAGAATGGGCAGCATTCACAGGCTCAGATCCACCTGAAGGTTTGCTAATATGTAAAACACTACACATGTTGAACATTTGATATAACACTGAAAAAATGGGAACTTACACAAAATAGAGACTTGAAGCCATTTTCAAATTCTACAGAACGCATTCTCTGATTTAGAAGCAGTCTTGAAGTATGGATTCATAAATGGAGTGTGAAATGGTCATTAGCAATAGCTACCATCTTTTCAATACCTAATGAGCTGATTTTCTACATTAATTCTTTGAACAACTTCGTAAAGTTAATTTATGTTGCTCCACTTTATAGGTGAGGAAACAGACTAATGCCGTGTGGCTGGCCAAGGTTGTACAGTTAGTATGCAGTAGAGCTGCCATTCAGATGGGCCTACTGGGCTCCAAAGTGTTTCTTTTTGTCCATCGTCCTGTGTGTCTCAATGTTCTCGTCACTAGGGCACGATCAGCTTCCGTAAAAGTATCTCATGTGGCATTACGTATTTGGAAACATCATTCTATAGAACTTTTTTGTCTTCAAAATGTTACAGATCTTATTCCCTGTTACAGTAGTAGCATTTTCCTATATATTATTACTTTATGGTTTCCAGCCATACCTATTCCTACCCTTTCTCTAAGTTGACATTCAGTGATTATTTGTCTTTAGAGCAGAGTTACTGAACAGGTTATTCTAAAGATGAAAAATGTGTAGGCTAAGTATGGTAGGGTTGGGTGGGGTGTCAGAACTGGCTTTTAGGGGATTTATACTGTGAAATTCAAATAGCTTCTCAAGGTAATTTCCAATTTTTAAAAGGATTTTATTTACTTTTAGAGAGCTAAGAGAGGGAGAAAGAGAGAGAAACATCAATGTGCGGTTGCTGGGGGTCATGGCCTGCAACCCAGGCATGTGCCCTCTGGGAATCGAACCTGCGACACTTTGGTTCGCAGCCTGCGCTCAATCCACTGAGATACGCCAGCCAGGGCCAATTTCCATTTTTTTTAATGCTCCCTAGGTGTCATGGTCTTTGACCTCTGTAAATTAGTAAAAAGTTGGAAGAGACAAGTAGGCAAGAAGTTAGGGATGCTCTCCTGTAAATGACATTTTACTAAGAGCCAAGATTCTCAAACCAGCTCTGTTAACAGTGGCTATAAGGAGAACTGGTGGGTTGCCTTTTCCATTTTGAACTCTGTACCTATGAGCTGCCAGAAAGAATGACTTCTAATGAAAACATGGGTGACCCTCAAATTAGGAAATCCTCTCCCGGGTAACAGAGGTGGCCCAGACTGTATGAGGTCACATTTGTACTCATGTGGAAGGGAGTACAAACGACTGACTAAAATAGCAGGCCAAACTACTAGCAATTTCCACATAGGGGCATTGTAAGACTGCAATTTATGCAATGTTTGGTTATCACAGGAAGATACACTCATCTTAAGCAATTTTAGCCTAATGTACTGGAAAATTGCTTAACAGATTTTTATATTCTATTAGAAACATTTTTAGATTGGTAAAATACCACTTGTTTTTCCTAGCAGCAGATGTTCAGTAACAACAGGGAGAAAGCCCCACCACAGCCAGCATTCATCTTGTGGACTTACGTATTCGTCTAGAGAAATGGAGTGCTAAGTGCACGCAGGTACCTCTTAGGTAACCACAGGTTTTCATTTTGCACTAAATTATTAGTCATTTTCTTTTATGTTCTTAGAGTATGATTCAGAGACCAATTTACTCCCAAAGAAAATTGCTATTAAATTACATTTATTAAGTTTTTATATTAAAACATACTCTACCAAGGGTTGACTGTCACTCTGAGCAGCTGTGCTGCTCAGCCTGCCTCATATGTTGGCATAATTTATTAACTGGCTCTATCTGAGGAGAATGGGAGCACTGTGGAATTACTTTTGGGCTGCAAATGAGTATCTCCAGGATTCCAGATGTTTTACTTCCTTTGTTTTTGGCCTGTCTTCATTTGAATTGCAAACAACAGAGACAAGAATTGCCATCTTCAGTGAAATTTCAGGTTGGAGCAAAACCAACTAGAAAAAAACTTTTAAGTTCAAGATCACAAGAAAACCCAAGACTAATATCGACACTACATAAATAGAACCGGATTAACAGGAAGTCCCATAGTCAATTTCTAGGTGATGCGTAGCAATAACACAATTCATATGACTATAAACCCTGGGAACATTCCTCTGTGATGTGATGGACAATATCCACACATAAGGGAAATAAAAATGATCAAATTGAGTTGAATTTTTTTCATTTTTCTATCCAGATTATAAGTATTTAAAGAAACAAAGTCATTTTGAGTTGAGAGGTAATTCTGCTTAGGAAGCACTGAGTTTTCCACAAGTTTCTACGATTTGATTTGTGGAGCAGTTGCCAGTTCTAGCAGCTTTATCACTAAAACTCATCTTCAGCCACTCGGGCCAAACGTCAAGTTGCTGCATAACCTGAGGGCCATCTAACCTTTGGCAACATATAAGAATGTAAATCTTTTTTCCCTGATAACCCTTAATAGTAGTGTATGTGGCAAAAACTAAGGTACTGCACGCCTCATTGTTTTTGCCCATGCTGAGAGATTGGAAGCAAAGCTGATTTGATTCAGCTCAGCTCTACATGGGGAGGGTTTCTGCAGATGCTGTGGGCGCAAGTTTGAAAGTCAAACAGATGTTGAGGCACTCAGGGTTTGGAGCCTTGTCTCCAATGAATCTAGGGATCCAGTTAAGTCCAATGTCCTCAAAGGATTAACGACAAGGCACTGCTTTGGGAAATGAAAATGAAATTGTAAGGTTCACCACTGTATTTATTCTGAGGGGTATACTTCAGACACAAATTTCCAGGGAAAGTCTAGATTGAGAGTTTTTAGTTTCTGGCTTCATTCCATCAAGTACCTGGTTTCTCACTTTCAGTTTCCTTTTCCTAGTAAGGAAGACTAGACAAAGGTTATTTTATGACCTTTGCAATTCATATATTTCCCCCCTAATCATACAAGTAAAATATCTTCATTATAGATATTTTAGGAAAACACAGAAGAGCATAAAAATGGCAAGCATCATGATCCCACTTCCTAGACACCCTAAGTTAATATTTTGGTGTATTTTCTTTTGTTGTTTTTCCTATAAATGTATTTTTTAAACGTGGGATCATTCAAATGCATGTACAGTTGACTCTTGAACAACATGGGTTAGGGACACTGACTCTCACAGAGTTGAAAATCCACATGCAACTCTTGACTCCCCTAACACCTAGCTATAGTCAACCCTTGGAATCCAAAGGGGATTGGTTCCAGGATCCCCCATGGATACCCCAATTTGCAGATGCTCAAGTCCCTTATATAAAATGGTGTGGAATAGTGCATACAGTCGGCCCCCTGTATCTGCAGATTCCCAAGCATGGGTTAAAAATACTGTTTTTGGCCCTGGCTTGTGTGGTTCAGTGGATTGAGTGCCAGCCTGCGAACCAAAGGGTCGAGGGTTGGATTCCCAGTCAGGGCACATGCCTGGGTTGTAAGCCAGGTCCCCAGTAGGGGGTACTCAAGAGGCAACCACACATTGATGTTTCTCTCTCTCCTTCCCTCTCTGTATAAAAATAAAATGTTAAAAAAAATACTATTTTTGGTCCATGGTTGGTTCGGTCCGAAGGTAAAGCTGGGTATGATACTGAAGGCTGGCTATATATTTATTGAAAAAAAAATCCATGGATAAGTGGAACTTGGCAGTTCAAATCTGTGTTGTTCAAAAGTTAAATGTATTGTCTTTTTTATTTACTATTATATCAAGAGCATTTCTCAACACCATTAAATATTCCTTGATAACCTGATTATTTTGATAATCTGATTATTAATCATTGCAAAATATTCTAATTATGATTAACCACAATTTGTCCAGTTCCCTAGTGTTAGATACTTACCTTAACATGTTCTATATTTCCACTAATCTCTGATTATTTCCTTAGGATAATTTCTTAGAGGCAGAATTACTGGGTGAGAACATTTTCAAAGCCCTTAATATATATTGTCAAATCC